TTACCTTCCTACCAACATATTTCTTACATCTTGGCCAATATCACTTATTATCAGAATCATTAATTTTTGCCAACCCAACAGTTACATTTCTCCTTTCTGTCTCTCTCATGTGTGTGTACATGCACACACCCATACATACATACACACACACATTTATAGTGTGAGGAATGTTTCCCATAAATATACTGATGGGAGAGCCTGGCATGGTGGCTCACACCTTTAATCCCAGCGCTTGGGAGGCAGAGTCAGGTGAATCTCTAAGAGTTCAAGGCCAGCCTGGTCTCTATAGTGAATCCAGGCCAGCTGTGACTACAGGTTGACCCTGTCTCAAAAAAAGATATACTGCTGGGAAAAGGAGCTTTAAAGTGTAGTATATGTGATAAAGTGGTATTGTAATGGGAAACACTGAACTAAACTAAAATGGATATGTAAGAAAACATGAGAAGCCTATTTAAAAAGGAGAGAAAAAGAATTCCCTTTCCACTTATTTCTCATTTCCACCTTTGCTAATACAACTTATCCACTTTATGAGATAAGATATTGAGTTGACCCCGTTGGGATTCCATCTATCACTGTAGCTAGTTGACATCTCTAAAAATGCAGCTTACACTGTTAATCCATTCACTTCAGCAAAACATGCCTAAGGGCATCAGATTCTTCTGTTTATCAGTATTGGGTTTCATGGCCCTGACAAGCTGAGATGATACAACTGATCAGGATGATGTGATGGCTTCAGTACTGGAGACTGGGACCCCTAAAAGCAAAAGCTGAGGCAGTGGAGGCTTATGCAGGTGTCAGATGTTTTCCTATGAAGAGGTTGGCAGTGGCCATAACTGTCTCCAGCTGGGCATATTACCAGGCAGGGAAGCCAAAATGATTTAATAATTAAATCACATTGGCTTATGATCATTGCTCTTATTAGGAAATATCATTGCTTTGGGGTGATTTATTATGTGATGTGGAATTTTCACATAAACACTGTGATTTGCATTTATGTGTAATATATATCTGCATATATATCTAAATCAGAGTGGCTTACTAAAAGTAAATCACTAAAAATGAGGGTGGACTATTGATAAAAAGATGCCAAAGATACTTAAAGAAATGTAGGAATTATGAAGACTAATGTAATAGTGCTGTTTTGAAATTCAATCATATCAGATACATTTTCCTTTATTTGAAAGCAGCAGGAAGAGAGACTCACTAGCTGGATCCATCTCTGTTTCTGCAGTTATGTTTTTGTCCCTTGAAATCTCAAACTATGATATTAACAAAATATAAAGAATATAAGTTTTATGAAATGAGTATTTCATTTCTAAATGAGTGGCTTTCTTTCCTGCCCTCATTTCCCCTCACAGTGTCCCGGTATGGAGGGGAGGTAGAAAAAAAGTTGAGAGAGAAGAACATTTTAACTCATAACAGAACATTCAGTCTCATGGGGCCTAGAGCAGCTGCTCTCAAGAAGACAAGGACATTGCAGAAGGTCTCTTTCCCTTTCTCCCTCTCTCATCCTTTTTGAATTTCCAGCTGTAATGGCTGTTAAACACCACTCCCATGATCAACCCAAGGCACAAAATTTAGTGGTGACTTGAAAGGGCAAAGCCAATTGTTTCTTGCACTCATCTATACCCAGGGCCAGTTACCCAATTTGTAGGGCTCAGTGCAAAATGAAAATGCAGGGCCTCTTGTGCAGGAAGCAAAACAAATGTGTCATTAGAGGTGCTAAAATGTAAACCTTGTCTTCTCTTTTGTCTTATCACAGAATTTTTTATTTGCCATTTGCTACTGTTATTAGAAAAACTAAATGTTTATGTCATTAGCATGAATTTTTGTATTTGCCAGTTGCTACTGTTATTAGAAAAACTAAACTTTTCTGTCATCAGCATGAATTTTGCTATTCATTTTTTATTGTGCAATGTAAAGTTTAAATGTGAATATAAGCACATTTAACTTGCATATGGAATTTCCAAAATGATGTACTTTGTAGCATGAATATTCATGTATATAGATTTTTCTCATAAGTAGAAATGTTGCACAGAACTAATTCATCTATTTTTCTACTACCAATACTACTGCTAATACTATTTTTATTATCTTTTTTGGTGGTGGTAGTGTTGGTGGTTGAACTTAGGCCCCTATATATATAAAAGAGGTACTTTACCATTGAGCTATATTCCCAGCCTTCCACTTTGTAATACACATACCACCTACCAATACTTTTCACTAGTGCCTTTTGTGATGACCAAGAGACTGAAGGGTAAAAGCATGATGGATTGCCCTCTTTGTGTTTCCTTCTTTGTTACCAATTTCAGTGTAAAAATTTTGGCAATACAGGCAAGTAACCAGAGAATGAAAAGACGACACAGAAAACTTTGATGATTTTATTTCTTAGAATGTCATTATTTTCTTTTAATGACTGAAACAAATTGTAGTTCTCAGGGAAAGCATGGCCTCTTGGTGCTATCCAAGTCTCAACTTTCTCAGTTCAGAGTAATATGATCATGTAATAGTTGGGTTGTGTCTTGCTAGACTCCCCCTTGTTTGAGACAGTTGAAATCCTTCACTCCTGGGACATGACATGTACTAGATGTGGAAAGGGTACCTAGGAACAGGGGGCATGCATATCCTGTGCATCTATTATATTCACACACATGCTTCATTATCTTCTTAGACCCTGCATGTAAACTACAAAGACTCAATTACTAAGAAGTTCAGGACAATGACAGCGGAGTATTAAACCAAATGCATACCTGTTCCGCATGTCTGGCATGTGTGGCTGTATGATACCTTGGGGGCAGATACTGGTATGCATCATGGAACCTGCTGGATAGCATGCAGCTTCATGGGCATGCTATATATGAAGGAGTCGAGTTTGGAGAAGGTTGGACACTGACGGTAGCATATTGGTGCAATGTGTGCCCTTAAAATGATTTCATATATTTATTTCAAACTCAGGTGAATTAACATGACCTTACGATAGATCTTTTGGAAGTTCCCAGGTTCTTTAATGATTGAATGCATTTTGGATGGGTGTCTGGAAGCCTTGGCCTGTAACTGGAACCAGATACTGGTTTTTGAATCAACTATTCTGTATCACTGAGCATTTTGTGTTTTCTTCTCTTTGTCCTAGGATTTCCAGCAGGAGAGCTCCAGAAGCCTTTCTTTTGGGGAACAGAATATCCTCGGTGAGTAAATCAGCAACGAAACTAAAGTTAACAAAGAAGAACATGTCACTTTGGCCAAGGACAAAATGTATAGGCAAATAGTCAAGTCCAATTCAATGGTTATTCAGCAGAAAGAGGGCATTTTAACTCTTTTTAGTATCTATTAGGCATTTATTTTCTTATCCTTGTTACCAAGAATATATGACTAGATGAGAAAGTCAACTTTCTCTGTAGGATTTTTTTTTCATATAAAAGATTATTGGAATTTAAATAGAGGGATATGATCTAAAATCTTTCCACATGAAGAAACAATGTGAAGGAAGGAAAAGTGCTTATAGAATTATATAAGTCTAGCTTGGCTTGTCAAGACATACGAAGGAAAGTTGTGGGGAAAAATATGTTTTGATGTTTGAAGGCTCTGGGTGCTAGGTGTGGAGCTTGGAACAGAAAACACTGAAGTTTTTGAGGAAGTGTGATAATCAAACGTATTAGAAATAACCTTCATAGTTATAGCAGAGGTCAAAATTGACAGGTCTGAACTTAGATTATTGACTAATAATTTCAATACATAGTGAGATTCTCATAATATCCATTGTCAGGAGTACCATCATTTTTTTTTATATCTTTGTGTGGTTGTAGTTCTTTGTGTATGGAAAATTTATTCTTGATTTTAGAAACTGAGTCTCTTGCTGGGCATGGTGGTGCATGCCTTTAATCCCAACACTTGGGAGATAGAGGCAGGTGGATCTTTGTGAGTTCAAGGCCAGCCTGGTCTAGATAGCAAGTTCCAGGCCAGCTGGGACTATAGGGAGACCCTGTCTCAAAAAGACAAAAAAAAAGAGAAAGAAACCGAGTCTCTTGAGTTTGGGTTTGGATATATGATAACTTTCACATGATTATGTAGGTGGTTAAAAAGATATGAACTCAACCAGGCCTGGTGGCGCATGCCTTTAGTCCCAGCATGTGGGAGGCAGAGGCAGGTGGATCTCTGAATTCAAGGCCAGCCTGGTCTACATAGTGAGTTCCAGGCAAGCTGGGGCTACAGGGAGACCCTCTCTTAAAAAGACCAAAATATAAATAAATAAATAAATAAATAAATATGATCTCATATACATAAAAAAATCAGAGAAACACAGTGGCTGTGTTTTGATTGGCTTCCCCAGAAGCTGTCCCTGTCATAAGGATATAAGAAATTCTTTTGGAATGTGGTACCAGGAAACTCCAGCAAGGGAAATCGTGAAGCAGGGAGGGAAGGAAGATAGTATATTTTGTCTTGTGAGTCTTCTATGGCTGCCAAAATGAATTACCACTAAAACTACATAAACTCACTAGCCATATTTGTGTAGCCAAACTTAGCTTTCACTGGGCTAAAGTCAAGGTGTCCGCAAAGATGCATTCTCTTTTGGGAAGCTCTAGAGAACAAACCATTTCCTTATCCCTGTTACTGCCCACTGTGCTGTCGGTGCCCCCAGCTGTTCCCCAGTGAAAGTCCCTCCACTAAGTCTAGTCAGCCTATCTAGAGTCCCTTGTTTTAGGAAGATCAGCTCTTCTTCATCTAGGAGCAATCAGTTGCCAACCCTCCTTCAGATAAAATTGAGGTCTGCTGTTCATTTTCCCAGTTCTATGCTGGTTTATTGTCTGCCTGGGTTATTGCATGGGACTTGTGTATGCTGACATCTATGCCATGGAACCATATGAGCAGATTCCCAGGAGCTTGTAGGACTCTGTTTCCATATGGTCATGCACCTCCTCCCTTTTTTTCCATCTTCAAAGTGTGATAGTCACATCTTCTTTCGAATCTCTTTTTTTCTATTTTTTAAAAAATTAATCTTTTTATTTTATGTGTACGAGTGTTTTGTATACACGTAAGTGCACCATGTATGTGCAATACCGATGGACGCCAGAAGAGGGCATCAGATACCCTGAAAGTGGAGTTACAGGTGATTGTTAACCACCATGTGGATTCTGGGAACCAAATCTGGGTTCCCTAAAACAGCAGTCAGTGCTCTTAAGTACTGAGCCATCTTTCTAGCTCTGTTTCTTCCATTTTTAAAGACATTTGTGGTTATACTGGGCCCACCCATTTAATCCAGGATAAGCTTTTTGTTTTAAGGATATCTGATTAGCAGCCTAAATTCCATCTACAACCTTAATTCCCCTGTGCCATGGAACAGCATATTCACAGGTTCCAGGAGTTAGCATAAGGGCATCTTTGGTAAGCCGTTATTCTACTTCCCACATGTGCAAATCAGTCTTGCTGGGGAGCTGCAGAACATGCTTCAAGGTAAGGGACCTGGGATGTTTATCCTCCAGGTCACATTTCGTCAGTGGTTTAGGAATGCTACCAAGGGTGACTCCCTGGCAGTGCCTACTCTAGTCCAAGAGATCTCTAGGTCTCTGATGGCTAGAGCATCTCCTTAGGCAACTAGCTTTGAGGTGGCACTCAGAAACAAGATCAGTGTGGGTCAGACATGATGAGTGCTAAAGAAACATGGGTGGGCCTCAATAAAGCCTACTGGAGAGAAGTACTGTTGTTAGCATAAATGCAATATCTCGGTTTGTATTTATCATTAATAATGTCCTGGTTTTCGCTTTCTTCAGTATTTAGGCATTTGGATACCATTTTCCCTATATTTAATATTAGAAATATGCCCACCTAGCTTATAAACTTAAAAGCCTAAGCAATTCTCTAAGGTCTCTTCAAACTGAAAAAAAAAATCCTGGCATTCTTTGATTCTGCCAATTATTCAGAATTTAACTCAGGTTTCTATTATTGTGGCTATATAACTGGAGGTTTGGAAGTAGTCTGGTTATGTTTGGAAGCAATTGATTCCATTGTTTATTTATTGGGTCCATGGGCATAATTTTCTTATAGAAAAGTCAGGATCATTGGAAATATTGTTAGTGTCTTCTAGTGCTGCCTTAGACTGAGCCAAAGTTGATATTTGAGTGGGAGATTTATTGTTTTTCCTGAACTCTTCACTAAAGCCACCCATTACCTATGAAAATATCTATTCAATTAACAGATGTTAAGTATCATTTGAGTCCTTTGTACTGGGAATATAGATATGCCAGAAATTATAGTCCAGTGAGCAGGATTTCCATGCACCCATCTTTTCTGTGTCAATTGGTGGATAGCCATCAGAACCAAAGGAATAGGTATCTTTTGCTCAAAGTGATCAGATTAGCTTGCATCTTAGTGTTGGGTCTGTAATGACAGAAACAAGCCAAATTATTTGCAAAGAAAATACTGAGGATTATAAATGGCCTCAAACAACATGACCCAGAATGGGTGTTCCATGAATCATAGTCATTCCCTCTCCCTCTGCTTTGGGTGAGTCATAATACCCAGTTCCCAAGAAGTTCTGTATAAAAGAAAGTTATTTAGATATGTTTAACCCTAAGGTTCTTCAACTCTTTTCTCTGTGTTTTGGGAAATGATATTCTCTAATTCATGACTGAAAAATAAGAATTGAAAGAACTTGGCAACATTTGCTGGTGGATTTTCATAATTTTCTTTGAGGCAGGGCCTCAAAGCTGCTGGTCTGAAAGTTGCTATGTAACTGAGGCTGGCCTTGAACTTGTGGTCTTCCCGCTTCTACCTCTCTATAGACACACTATTAGTCATAATTTGGGAGGAAAATTAAGTGGCAGATGATTTACTATATTTAGGGAAGTCAGCACATGTTTATTGATTGAACTAGACCAATAGATTAAAATCACAGCCAATAAATTGGAAATATGCAAACAGATATCTTACGACTATTTGAATGTTTTATAGTTTGGTTGGTTTTGATTTTTTGAAACTGGGGCTCATCACACAGCCCAGGCTGCCTTCAAACTCTCAGTTTCTCAAATGCAGTGCCAGGATTTATAGGTGTGTGCATCCATTCCCTATCCTTGAAAAATATTTTTGAGATAAGATATTGCTGTGTTGTCTAGACTGGACTCTAACTTTTCTCCTCCTACCTCTGCCTCCCACGTAGCTGGGATTATAGGTTTGTACCACCAGACTTGACTTTAACAAGTTTTGGTAGAGGGGCTTGCATTTTTCCTAGGGTTTGAACAAGATCTTTCAACTACTTTCAACTCCAGAGGCTTTTATGCTTTTCTGATGCAGAGATAGGGTAACACTTACTTGATAACGGCATGAGATTATGGTGAGTCCAAACAAAGGTATAATTATTTCCTTATTGACAGCACATTTCATGTGTGTGTAAACCCATTGCATGATAAGAACAAAAGAAAGGGACTGGAGAGATGGCTCAGCAGTTAAGAGCACTGGCTGCTCTTGCTGAGGACCAGGGTTGGTTCCCAGCACCCACATGGCAGCTAGCAACCATCTGCAACTCCAATTGTAGGGGATCTGACACCCTCTTCTGACCTCCACAGGCATTGCACCACACAGGTGCACTTACATATATGCAGGCATAATGCTCATACACACAAAATAAAAATTATAAGTAAAATATTTATAAAAGAACTAAAGAGGGATGGTGTATGTAGTGAAATTGTTGCCTTCTCCATTGGAAAGCTATATTTTTAATGCAGGAAGTCTTCTAGCTTCTGTCCAGCCAGCTGTATTCTAAGAGGCACATGAGTTTACTTTTTATGGTATTCTAATTTAAATAATGTCCATTGATAAAATGGACCATATGAATATAATATTATAAAACATTATCATTATAAGGCTTGGTCATACAAAATTACTTTTTCTTTGTATCCTGTCCAAGGGATTGCAATTCTGTAACTGAGAATTGAAACTTACAATGATTCAATCATTTTCTGAATTCTCTATTACCCTTTGCAAATAAGAAGCTTGTTGGAGCAGTCCCTCTTAAGGGACATTTATTGCAAAGCACTTTCTATAAGCTTCCATTGTCCATCCCTTAAATTCACCTAGTCAACAGTATTGACTGGGGGTGTGGAGGACTGAGCACTTCATTCTGTCTCAGGGCTGAAAAATCTGGAAAAATGAAATGTTGCAGGCTGCACAGTGATAGATACTGCTGTAAAATTACAAGTTTGTCCCACATGGCTATGATCGCTCTACGATTAAAATGCGTAATTTTACTTGTACTTCTTTAATGAAGATTTGCAATGATGGAAAAACAGTAGGAAGCATTTTTTTAAATGCAAATTACCTTGCTGGAAAGAAATAACAAAGGAAAGAATTGCCACCAAGGGGAAAAATTAAATCTTATAGCACTTCCTTGGGTACAGTTGAGACAAACAATTAGCATGTTAAGGATCATTATGTCCTGTAATAACATGTTACTTCAAAAATTTGTGTTTCTTCCAGTTATGGTCCTGTTTGCTGGGCAACTTTGATGTTGCATGTCAAGAACCAACTGTGAAATAGTTTTAGCATAATTGAAAATCTCACAGTAAAGATTCTAAATTGTTGATAACTCTCACCTATAAGGTTAAATGACTTATAGAAGTTACATGTAAGACCCATCCCTTGCATTAAATGGCAAAGTTAATTAATCATGAATTAAATCACCATTCATTTTCTTACTATTGTTCTAGGAACAGAGACATTGTGATAAACAGGTGAGAGTTTGGTCTTCAAGGAGACTATAGTACAGAGAAAATTCTAGACACATGCATTTGGAAAGGCCAATATTGATTTCCTCAAACTTTGTTTGTGTTTCTTTTCAGTTATCTATGCTGCATAACAAAGCACCACCAAACAGCCATTTATCATTTCACAATTCCAAAATTTGGGCAGGCTGAGGCAGCTTGTCCCTATTCTTTTGTGGTGTGGTGTGGTCTGGGGAAGCTCCTCTGGACGGGAACTCTCTGATGTCTTCATGCCCTCTTGCTGTTCTAATAGGTGGGGCCCAGGAGGGCCTCTTCCTACTTCCTTCAGAGTCTGTCTCTTGCTTTCCCAGGTCTCTTTCAGCTGCAAATGAAAATTACAAGGTCTCTTAAAGTCTAGTTCCAAAAGTCACACCCGGCCCCTTGCCTATATATATCCTGTTGATCATAAGTCTCAAGGCCAGTCTAGATTCAAGGGCAAGGAAATAGTTCATATCCTGGTAGGGAGGAGGGGACATATGTGTTCAAGCATAGGAATTGTTGGTGGTCATCTACCACATGCTTCTTCAGAGGTGAAGAGAAATAATGTAACACTTTCCCCAAATCTGATTAAAGTTTCACAATCTTTGCTATTCAGTTGTCAGCTTGTCTGCCACAGAAATGGAGGAACGTGACTAACTTTGAAAACAGAATGATCCCTTTTAATCTCTGCTCTATTCCTTTTTTATGACTACATTTGGAAAACAATTTAACGTCTAAGATTATAGTGACTTTGCAGCAAGTTTTCAGATAAAAAATGAATAATACATTTATTCACAGGAACTTTTCAAGTCCTGTTTTAGGTGTTCATAAATACAAAATATTACAACAGATACAGAACCATAGATGTCTTAAGGGTAGAAGGGACCCTTAAGGGTGGATTGTTAAGGCCTATTGTACAAGGTCATACTGACAATGTTAGGATTTGTATTTTCTTTGTTTAGATTAGAAGGGTATGTTTAGGTAGTTTGTTTTATACTTTTATGGGTATGATTATTATATTTTTATTAGTGCAGTTACTAGAAAACAGACTACCTTGGTTTGTCACTGAAAAATTAAAGGATTATGCTCTCAGATTGTAATGCTTGTAATTTTCTCCAAATTGTGTGTTTATGACATAGATCCCTGAGTTATGGTGCTATAGGAGTAATTGTGGGACATGAATTTACACATGGATTTGATAATAATGGTAAGTACTAGTTCATTTTACAAGCTGCTGTTTTTATAATAATGTTGATTATATGGATGTTAATTGTTGTTATTATCTTTTCATAATAGCATCATCATAGATTGAACATTATCCAAAGCAATATGATTGCTGATTGAAAACTTTTCTTTATGTCTTGCTGTGATAGCTTGTAATAAATAAATGAGTATTCCAGTTGCTGATCAGGGTAGAATGAAAAAAAAGACTGTAATTTCCATCAAATTACCTTTGCATTTCGAAGAGGATTGTTGTAGCTGCAATAGTGGTTGCAAGAATTGTGTTATAGCTTTTCCCCTTTGTCCTTTTTCTTTGCCTCACCATCTTGTGATGTTCTCCCTGGAGGTATGAGTTCTTTCCAAAATATGATTGTATATGCTGCTTAATGAAGAATTTAGACCTTGGGAACTTGACTGACTCATTTCTTTATACAATTTCAAGGATTTTATAGTGTTTCATTTCTATTTTTCTTTATATTGGCCTATTATCAGAATTTGTTTTTAAAAAGGCTATATGCTTTCTGGAGAGATGGCTCAGCGGTTAAGAACAGTGGCTGTTCTTGCAGAAGACCTGGGTTCAAATTCCAGCACCCACATGGCAGCTAACAACTGTCCGTAGCTCTGGTCCTAGGGGATCTGACAGCCTCTTTTGTCCTCTGTGGACAATGCATGACATGGGTGCACTTACCTACATGTAGGCAATACATGCATACACATAAAATTAAAACAATATAAAAAATTTTTAAAACGCTATATGCTTTCTTAATAATATAGAAGAAAGAATATGCGATGTATCCCGATGGTATTTAAGCAAAAGGGGCAAAGCAAGGTAATAGATTAAAATAAAGAAATGACCATCTTTGAAAGTCATCATCTAAAATTTTTATTATATTTATTTATTGATTTATTTGAGTGTGTGTATGTGAATATGTACACGTGCAGGTCAGAGGACAACTTGCAGGACTGGCTCTTTCCTTCCACTGTGTGGATCCTGGGGATCAAACTCAGGTTGTCAGGCTGAGTGGCAAGTGCCTTTCCTGCTGAGCCATCTTGCTGGCCCAAGAGTCATCATATTAAACTACCATTTCTTTTACCTTCAAAGTATTATCTCTCTCTCTCTCTCTCTCTCTCTCTCTCTTTCTCTCTCTCTCTCTCATCACATCCAGATCAATACATGGTTCATAGGCAGTCTCTAAATCATAGCTGGCCCAAGGCAATGTTGGGTAGGAGGAGACCTCTTTCTATGGGCCTTACATAGTCTCCAGTGTCTTTTCCTGGATGCCTACTCTAAGATCAGAGACCAGCTGGCCTCTTTTTCTTCTGAACAGTTCTTAGATTCTTACATCTCACCAGCTTTTCCTTAATCCCTTAGTTATCTCCCCACCCCCTACTCCCTTTGCGTCCTTCCTGTTAAAGTGTAGCTGTCTCATAATTATCCGAGTCCCCAGAGTCAGACTTCCTACCTTTTGATATTTAGTTTGTCTGAGAGCAGATTGTTAACTACGAAATAAAGACAAGTGGTGCTCGGTTGGTTCTAGACCTTTCTTCCCAGGAGATTTAAGTATATTTCTCTCCCAGAACCTTCTGGAGGCCTTCTGAAGCCTCTCCTAAAGGACAGAATCTAATGATGCAGTTTCACTCCGTAATTAGTAGTTAGACCAATGTATTGCACATAGGAATACATGCCCAGTAACGAATGATTGATGTGTTAGAGGGTAGAAGACAGTGACTCTATCCCCGGGGCTGGTGTTCGTAGTAGCAGCCTTGCTGAAGAGTGTTGATTTGTTCCAGTGAATGCTTTTGCTTAGGGGCCTTCTTTGTAAGCTATTTCTTATAAGCTCTTTTTCTTAGAAGACTCTTTTGTTGGGGACTTTCTTATAAATTCTCTGTGTAATTAAATTTAAACCATGTCTCTGATTCCACTAATAACCTTGAAAATAGAAGAGATGTACCCAAATCATTATTTTTGAAGGATGTAGAGAAAATGAAGAGTAAGAGACCATGTAGCAAGAAATCATGTGTAACTAATCTTTTTTTTACCCAATTATATTTTGGAGATTTCCATTCCGGTTCCAAATTCCCATTTTAGAGCAACCTTCCTTGTCCAAGCAGGACAGATGGGTCTTCCATCCACACCGATGACTGTGGAATGATTCATAGCAGAGGGTTTATGTGTCTCTTGGCTCCTGGCAACTTGGAAGAAGCAGGTTGCTATAGGGCTGAGTCAGGTTCTGTGGTCCTATGGTGTGGATGACTCACTGGGGCTATTCCTATGGATTGTTTGGAATTTCACTGGTAGTGGCACTCCAGTTCCCTCCGTTGCCTTAAAGAGTGAAGAGATTGAATTTTGTGATTCTGAGAACGTTTCAGGTCAGAATAGGTGAAAAGAAAGCATCCAAGATTGGATAAAACTAGTGAATGTGCTAAATGGACGAGTTTCATTTCTCAAACGCCTTTTGTTCTTTTCAAGGAAAGAACTTCCTCAATTTCTTTTGCTCTTTCCCCTGATTTTTACAGCTAACCCACGATATTGGAGGGGATGTGGGAGCTGCTCTTATGGTTTTGAAAGTCTGCCTAGGTGAAGGAAAGATGAAGATTTCAGTTTCCATAAATAACAGATTTCTTGTAACTTTTCTTTTTGTTAGGTAGAAAATATGATAAAAATGGAAACCTCGATCCTTGGTGGTCTGTGGACTCAGAAGAAAAGTTTAAAGAAAAGACAAAGTGCATGATTAACCAATATAGCAACTATTATTGGAAGAAAGCTGGCTTGAATGTGAGTATAGCTGTGTTAAGAGGGCATCCTGTGGGCCTTTCTTCCTCATTTGGATATTAGTTTGCTTTAGACCATTGGTTCTCAAAGCATGCTTCTGGGATCAACAACATCTGCCTTCCCTGGGAACTTGTTAGAAACACAAACTCTTGAGTTCTGGTCCAGACCTGCTGAATCTCTAGGGGTGGAGCCCAACGTCTGGCAATCTGTCTTTTCACAAGCCCTCAGTTAGTTCTAACATAAGCTGAAGTTTGAGACTCACAGGCCTACAAAAAGCTTGTTTTCTGACATTCAGATCAATGTCAAAAATCCCATAGCATAGAAAATCAACATTCTTAAAAATCTACACTCCATACTATTTAAAGATTCCACATGAATCATTGTTTGTGTTTAATTTATTGAGATAAAAGTCCCATGATTTTGAACTAATGGGTCTGAGAATTGATGAAATTTGAGTTCTTAGTTACAGAACAAAAGAAATGTTTAAAAAATTTTTTTATTATATGTATACGTATAATTTTCCATGAGGGCAAAAATGCAATTTTATACATGCTTTATGCATGTGAAATTTTGTTCGTTTCCTTTTCTCTCTTATTCTTACCTTCTGTACATGTAGTCAATGTTAATAACTCTGATACATTGTTCCCACATGCTCATGCAGAGATCAACACATACACGGCTTTAGTTAATTGCTTCTAGTGACTGCCTAAGAGTCCCTGGTATGAATGTACTATAACCGAGTCAACTAACCTAAGGGGGACCCTTTTCAATTCTAAATGCTAATTCAATAAACACCTTATTATGTATATATTATTTTTCCCCTATAGGATATATTCCTATCGTCATTAGAAAACTATAAAATTTTGTATTTACACAAGTGATAGATGAATGGATATTTATTTATCTGTGGAGCTTTAATTTTATCAGTTTATGAGAGCCTTTAAAAGTAACAGAGATACCATGTTGTGAGACTGTCGGGAAGTCACAAGATATATATTTGAGTATGGACTTTCCAACACAGCCATAAATGAGGGGGGCACCCACTCTTCTGTAAATAAACCCCCACCCTATGCTCTGTTAGCAAGCCCAATAAACTCGCTAGGATTTTTCAAAAAAGAATGGAGCTAATGTGGAAACCTTCATTATTTCACCAAATTTGACCTCATGTTGGCAAATCCTTTGGATTTTGATTACTTATTCCTATTCCCCCCCTTGAACTTCATTTT